TAACAAACGATACCTATTTGTTGTAATGGAAATTTAGCGATAACATACGTAGTTGCTACATAGTTGTTATACATATATTTTATTTATGTAGCTACTTTGAGACAACAATATAATTTTTTTGTGTTTTCTACGATCATACCAACGATTTAGTTTGAGTGGTTGGGGTTTGAGTTTTAATTATACAAAGAATTAAAAATAAAAAGATACACAAAAATCAAGAAAAAGAGTGAGTAGTCAAAAAATTTTTGAGTAATTTTATTATTTGAGCCTACGTAGCGGCCTAGTCTAGTACATAGGTACTTAATGTCAAGTAATGTATGTTTTTACGAGTAAAATTTTGTCATTGCTCTTAGTCATTAGGTGATAGCTTTATTTCTATAAAATCTTGGATAGAATCCATTAGTTTAATCAAAGACAGAGATAGGGATACCTATAGACAAAAGTTATATTCAGATATAGCATTTAAAATCAAAGTAAGGACAATAATATGATTACAATTTTTTTAATAAATTCTTTTCATCTCCACAAACGGTACTGGCCTTTTGTAGTCTGCAGGAAGACATCCTCTGTAAGTTCCCTTTGTTAAACGTAGACCTCTTCCTGGATGTGGCTTATTCTCTATCCTAGGAAGGGAGTTTTAGGGGTCGTAATTAAATAACCGAAGTTTAGAGAATGTTGCTACCTGGGCCTTTAGCCAAACGCCACTTTAGCGCTTCTACCGAGAGAGTAGAAATCAAAATGTATGGGGATGACACTGACAAGTGTCAAAATTCATGTCAATTCCATATAATTTGGTTTTCTATTCTACATGTAGACGAGCGCTAAATGGCATTTGACTACAGCTGTAGTATCAAATTCAAACAAAAAAATCTGCTGCTAGCATTCGCAATGTATGACATTTTCCTACAATAATATTTAACATATTTAGCGAATTCTGAAATGGAGATATTAGTATTAGAAATGACCTTCCTAACCCTGGCACGTCGTTCCCTTTGTCCCTTTGTGGTATGTTGGATTTAAATGGTTTAACTTGCGGGCAGTTTGTTAATTTGTACTACGGAACTTTATGCTGTTTAATAAATCAATCGCTTAAAAGGGTTCGCAATAAATAATAGTCGCTGCTATACTGTGTTCTATTCAATGGCTATTTATTATAAGATAACACGTAAATAATCCTGCGGTAGAAATTAAGAGGATTATATACGTTAAAAAAACGAAAACGATTCTTTATGTAAGTGAATTTTAGGTTTGGGGGAAACACAAAATCGTCGTGCAGATTGAAAAGGAACTTTGTCTCTTCCTAGGTTTGTACCTAGGTAGTAGGGTAGGGTAGGTGACAGTATCGTTAAAACAATTTTGACCTTAGCCAGACCGTAGGCACCACACCACAGCCCTATACAAAACTTGCAATCCTTTTCCTGCACGTGCAATGCAATTTACAATTGATATTACAGATATCACCGCATTGATAATTGAAAAATTAGGCATACCCAACCGTAGTTTTACAAAATGTAACAAATACATATCCTTGTTTATAACTTTCTTCCAATACAACCAATTGAAACAAAGTCGAAATAATTGGGGTTGATTCTAAATGCTAAGAAGATCGTGAAACGGTAATGAAGACACCACGAACGAAAATAATTTTAATTTACATTTTCCATCAAGCATTTATAGCCATAAAAACTTAGGTACGTAATTAAAAGCTGGAAATAATGTTCCGTTTTATGCATTATTCTAATTCCGGTGGAGAGATTAAAAATTTTAGCGGTTGAGCTATTTAGTCAAAAGTCCAGTTTAATCGACAAATTACCTTCAGTAACACATCTCATAATGCGACCTAATATAAAGTCCACCAAAATTGTCAGGCTGGTTATAATAAGTATAAAAGTATAAAAGACAGCCTCGTTGGCCGAGTGGTCGCTAGTGCGACTGCCGGGCAAGGGGTTTCGGGTTCGATTCCCGGGTCGAGCAAAATATTACTGGATTTTTTAAAAATCTCAATAGTAGCACGGAGTCTGGAAATGTGCCCGGTATATGGCAATAGGCTCACTCACACCCTATTACATGGGACTCATAACATAAATAGTGAAAAGTGGGTGTTACATTGTACAGTATCAGTAAGTGCCGTAATGTGCACCTCTGCCTATACCTTCGGGATAAAAAGGCGTGATGTTATATTATGTATGGTTATAAAAAGTAAGCTTGCAATTAAGCTTTTTATAGCATATCATTAGTTTGCATAAATTCTTGTTGGGCCACAAATAACAGTGTCTGAGATTATAAAAAAATGAGCAACAATTTTTGTTTAGTTTCCACATAATACTGAGAAATACTTTATAGTAGGTAGATAGATACATACAGCAGATACAGTATGTACGTACGTAACTAATATGTACATTAAGATCATGGGATTTATAAGTAATCCAGTCTGCTCATGATACCATACGACGAGTAGAATTAGATGTTGCTGTAGCTTTCAACTTCTATACTTTTCAATTAAGACTACCTCTAACAAAAAGTACAACTAAACATGATAAGAAAACCTGGACTTGTAAGTAAATTACTATATCAATCTACCTTGAGCAAGCGCAATGGTTATAACAAAGGCCTTTGTCTTTATTCTATGACGTTGTTGTGTTAATAAAAACCGTCGATGGTATAGGTATTGTATATTTTGAACTAATAATTTAACTCGTCGAGTACCGGTTTTATAGAGACAATTAAAGAACAATAGGTCGCGGTCACCGGTGACCGCTTGGTGTTTGACAGTTTAAAGAGGGTCAATAAAATGGAACATCAAAAAAAAAAAGGGATTCGTGGTCGTAGGCAACTAGTAGTAAAAGAAATGTCGCGAAATATACTAGACTAATACTATAATGGGGATGATGACAGGGTATGAAAATTAAAAATCTCATTAGTCCGTAAGTTACGTAATTAAAAAATATAGGACACGTATTTTTTTTTATTTTGTCGTATAATAAAACAATACTTAGATAAAACGAATCAAAGTTTAGGAGTGGGGGCTAAAACGTCATTTCTCAGTATAAAATGTACTGAGAAGTGACGTCACGCGACATTTCAAATCAATATATCTTCGAAACTATTCGTTTCCGTAAGATAATAAAAAATACGTGTCTAATGTTTTTAAATAATCTACCAGACGGACATTAAAATAAAAATTAGTCGTCTACCCAATTTCACGTAATGACATCGTGGAATATAACGATGTGATCGATTAGTGTGTTCCACCAGTGACTGGCTACCACGTGGCCTCCACTGCATATAGGACCGCCCATCACCTTCCACTTCCACCATGAATATGGAATGGAAGCAACTGGGGCGGCACATTCAGTAAATTATTTCAGACAGACATGTTTGTTTCTCGTTATGCAGGCTGCTCATGATTGATATTTATATAAAGATTCTTTTACGTAACTATATAAAGGTTAGTGAACTAAAGATATATTTTGAAACCCAATTCCCAATATTTTATTACCTACTCTTAATCATGCCTGCCTCGTTGGCCGAGTGGTTGCAAGTGCGACTGCCGGGGCAAGGGGTCTCGGGTTCGATTCCCGGGTCGGGCAAAGTATTACTGTGTTTAAAAAAAAATCTCAGTTGTAGCACGGAGTCCGGAATTGTGCCCGGTATATGGCAATAGGCTCACCCCCTATTACATGGGACTCATAACATAAATAGTGAAAAGTGGGTGTTACATTGTACAGTGGTATAATGTGCACCTCTGCCTACCCCTTCAGGGATAAAAGGCGTGATGTTATGTATGTACTCTTAATCATTGGTCAGTTTTTCAGTTACATGCAAAAACAATATTGTTATTCACTTATTCTTAAAACCATGATTAAGTTGAAACTATGAAATCGTGATATTGAAGTATCTATGTGTTTTTATAATATTATCGCAGTTATTTAGTTTATACCTAGTTTAAGTTTTAAGCTGTAAGCCAATGATAATGCTTAAATAAATACAGGTTTATGAAAAAAAGAAAAGAGCAGCTTAAACGGCTATCATTCAAAAATCCTATTTTTTAATCTCATTTTAAAAAGTTATTATTGTTGTCTATTGAAATACCGTTACGTCGTACGTGTATTATTCATCCCTATAATTAGTCAGGTACGGAATACAATAGGTATATAAACTACAGTCATTAATACTACCTACTGAGAGAAAAAAGACTGATATTAATAGGAACTGAGCTGTTTTTTAAATAAAAATATCTTTCTATTTATTATATGAAAAAATAGTTGTAAACAAGAAAGTCGTGTTATTGAATTGAAAGCGTTTTTAAACCATATTATGGCCACTAAAATGTCTGAATTGGATAAGCCAATAACAATAATCAGAATTGAGACTGCCTCGTTGGCCGAGTGGTTGCAAGTGCGACTAGTGTGATCCACCAGTGGGAAGGGGTCTAGTGGGAAGGGGTCTCGGGTTCGATTCCCGAGTCGGGCAAAGTATTACTGGGTTTTTAAAAAATTCTCAGTAGTAGCACGAAGTCTGGAATTGTGCCCGGTATATGGCAATAGGCTCACTCCCTATTACATGGGACTCATAACATAAATAGTGAAAAGTGGGTGTTACATTGTACAGTGGTATTATGTGCACCTCTGCCTACCCCTTCGGGGATAAAAGGCGTGATGTTATGTTATGTTATGTAGAATTGCGAAAAACCGTTTACTTTTAACTGAACTGCGACATGTGACAAACTCGGTGATCTGTGAACTCAATTAAAGTCGAGTGTAAAATGAGTATTTAAACGCACTTCGAAAGGAGATTGACTTTATTTATTTCGTTCCACGAAAATATATTCTTTACATCTTTGAAATTGGATGAAAATAATACATTGTATGCTTTTCCTTATGATTTTTATGTTTCTTTGTCTTAACATTTATTTTTCGTAAGACCAAAGTTAACTTTGCCATGAAAAGATAATATTTAAAATACTTTCCTTACAAAACTATCTAAGACCGAAATTGTGACTTATCTTGAGGGTAGTGGTGAATATTCATACATAGTTATCGTTGACTGTGATGCGCCAATACATAACTTAGTTCGTGTCCATCCGAGCTTTGTGTCACCTGCACAATTGTGAACCTTGTAGAAAAATATATTTTGTGCTATTCCTACGCTTCGGTGATCAGAGGTTCAACTTATTAGGTTAGTAACTTTTTACTATTTTATTTTAACCTTAACCGCAAATTGAACAGTTAAATGGTAATAAAAAATAATCCGTGTAAAATAGTAGGATTTATATCTTAGGTAGTAGGTAGGTACCGTATCACTTCTTCTGTCATGTGATGTCATAATATTAATTAGATAAAACGTAATTTAATTCGTTTCGTTACGTCTTTGCTTCGGTACAAATTACGTTGGTAGGCCGAACGTACCAGAATAATGAAGTTGAGACAATGTGAGCATTTAGAGTGTAACTTGAGGAATATTTTAACTTAACTCCGTGAAAGGGATTCGGGCTTTAAGCCGTAATGTAATCAAAACAACACTTGCGAGACAAGTTAATTTTGTACAAACAATAGCTTTAATAAGAGTACGGTGCTTTCGTGTAACTTGACCTCTATGTTTTACGAAGACTATGTAGGTACCTGCTTAAATAAAAAAAAAAAATAGTAATGGGAATTACCAGTATAAACTCATTTATTTCCTTATTCTGACAATGTTTTTTTAATATTAGTGCCACTGGTTCTTTGGTAGGTTATATAAATAAGCGCCAGTTTTAGTTAAGTGTGAATATAACAAAACAGGTGACGTAATATGGGGTACCTACCTCTCTAATGTAGTGATTCCTTTGGTCGATAAGAGACGTAATGTTATGTATATTCTATAAGTATATCAACAATTTTCGATAGACATTTCTGAATATAAAAATACCTTTTTCATTAACCTCTGGTATATCTACGCGAGACACAATGCTTTTTTACTGTATCTTAATTACCGACATATAAGAGGTTAAAAAACTAAATAATTATACAATATAACATATCTTTAAGTTCAATCTTCTAGCTCTTAAGAACATATTTATTATGATTATCTTATTAACATCATAATATTTTAAAAGTTATTTGTTCCGTATTTAACAAACATATATGTCTTGTATGTATATAAAAGAAAGTCGTGTTAATTACACTATTTATAATTCAATAACGGCTACATCGCTTTCGATGAAAATTGGTGGGGAGGTAGCTTAGAACCAGGAGACGGACATAGGATACTTTTTTAAACAATACTTTTACTGTTTACGTATTGTAAACGGTCATTACAAATGCAATAGTTAAACTAAAATAGTAGCTACTAAGCTGAGCGATCGCCTAATATAAAATAAGGCTCATATAAATTACAGAGAAACAATTCTCCGTGACTTAGGTGTGTCTACCTTCGCAATGGCGATTGCTTCAAGCAAAACAAGCTTTTAAATTATTTTTCTTCCAAACACGTTAAAGATTTATTCGCTTGACTACGCTACAAAAACAAATATTCCTTCAAAGATACAGAATGTATTTGTTGATCGAAACATAACGCGTATTGTTCGTTATAAATAGGGCTTAATATTAATAACATGCTGTTGCAAACTTTGGCAATAATAACTGAATCTAAATAGCATCATTATGACGAGTTAGAGATTTTTAAGCTCGATTAAAGAGCAACATTTTATTGCGAATCGTTTCCACTGGTTAGTTTTTATTACTTTTGTTTTATTATACTCCGTTTTGAAATAACAGCTTGGTAATTTAAGGGACAGCGCGGAAAGTTTTAATAAAGAAGTTTGACAACTCTTCATGTTGTAAAGAGAAAAATAACAAGACTTGTGGGTACTCGTAAGCATTCAACTTTTGATCATCCTTAATATCGTTTCCATCTCTAATACATTCAATAAGTAGGTAATACGGAAAAATAATCAAACCACGAAACCGGATCCAATAGAAAACCGCTCATGAGATCGCTCTTAAAGTTTATTAGCTGCGAAGTAACGTGAAGCGCGGTAAAAATATATACTTTATTGCCCTAAACTTTAAACAATTGTACATCATATTGTGTACACTTATCTGTGCGTTGTATATTCTTAAAACAACGTCGGTTACTGATTTTGGAAAACAATCAAAATGTATATTTGTAAGAATAGATTCATATTTTCGAAGTAAAAATAATAAAGATGTGGAAGAATCTCAAGGACTTCTCGTATTACGTCTACTGAAGTTTTTGATAGACTCGTCATTTCATGTTGGTGTGTCGCTTTGAGCATCGAGGTTAATAAGTTTTAGGGTTCGTGGAAGTGTCGAATTTGAATAATATTCTACGGATTGCTGCGTAGCTTGAGAGCGAGTAGGATGGAAGCTATACCTATACAAATCATATACTTACTTACAAAAAGAAAGACCTTCGACTGATTCCCAACATGATTCGATATGTATCTTTTGCAAACGGATGCACGTAACTGAATGCGAATAAATATTAACATAACAGGTTAAGGTTGAGAATATCATTATTTCCCTTGAAGGATCACATGCATAATTCGTTTACTGAGAAACAGTGTTTGACATAAAACTAAGCAATTTAGAGCGCACAGTAGTACGCACAATAAAAAGAAATAAAAATAATAACAATAAACGTGTAAATGTGGTGAATCAACCATCAACAGCCTAGAAACCCACTGCTGAACAAAGCCTCTTCTCACAGGGAGAAGGTTTGAGCATTAATCACCACACTTGTTCAATGCGGGTAGGCGATTACAAACTTATAATTAGAAATTATAGGCAAAGATTTTCTCACGATGTTTTCCATCACCTTTTGTCAGTGGTGTCTGGATAATCTTAGAAAGTACATATAACTATGAAAAAAGTCACATTGGTACTTGCCGTTGGTAGGTTTCGAACCCGCACCCTCATGCATGAGAAGCGGGCGTCTTAAACCTCCGGGCCAATGTGGTGAATACGAAAGAACAAATATAAACTTTCAGTATTTAAAAATGTGGGTAAAGTAATACACACAAAAATATTTGAATAAATTAACATAAAGAACAAAATCAAGTAACACGGGTAGACCAACAAAGTGTAACAAAAGTATGAAGAAAATGTGGGTAAACCAATAAATTATTGAATCACTTGACCTTGCAATGTTACAATGCACAAACATAGGTACATGAATTATATTATTAGATGTGGCATTGATGGCATTGTTTATAACAGAACATCACGCCTTTTTATCTCCGATGTAGTAGTGCACATTACGGCCCTTAATGCCACTGTACAATGTAATGTAACACCCACTTTTCCCTATTTATTTTGTTGGTGAGCCTATTGCCATATACCAGGCACAATTCCAGACTCCGTGGTACTACTGAGATTTTTTTTAAAACCCAGTTATAATTTGCCAGAACCGGGAATTGAACCCGAGACAGTCGTACTTGTGACCACTCGGCCAACGAGGCATCATAGATATAAATAGTTTTATTTTATTGTGGTAGATGCACACGGTATTCAATTTAAACTATTTAGTATTTGCCTTTTAATTTAATTAGTTTATTACATAGTGTATATTTTAAATATTTATAGTTATTCATTATTTGTAGTTATGAATTGTGTAAATTTTAAGTAATTTTTTGAATGTTGCGTAACTTTTTTCTTGCTTATTGATGGCAGGTAATTTGTTGAATATTTTAATACCTTCAAACTCCAGATTTATTTTTCCATAGTTAGTTCTAGGGGGACGGGTTACTAAGTAACACGCACAACTTCAAATTGAAGTTTTAATGAATTTCATCATTTAACAATTTACTTAAATTTACGTATTAAGTAAGTAACACATATTATGTATGTTTGGTTTTATATTCATTAATTTTGTGTTATTATATAATACTAGCTTCTGCCCGCGACTTCGTACGCGCGATCCCGTTTTCTCCCGTTCCCGTAGGATTTTCAGGACCTTTTTCTGTCATAAGAACCTTCTCTTGACAATAATAAACACAAAAAAAAATCAGCCAAATCAGTCTAGCCGTTCTCAAGTTATGGCGTGACAACGGGAAACGGGTTTCATTTTTGTTTTTTTTTTGAAAACGTTTCCCCACATTAGGATTTTCTCCTGTGTCGTGGGTGCGTTTACTAACATACAAGTTCACATATACAATGACACCCAGACCCGAAACAACAATTTGTGGATCACACAAAGTGTTGTTCCATGCGGGAATCGAACCCGCGACACGTTGCACGGCAGCCGGTTGCCCAGCCACCGCACCGTGCAGTTTTATATAAATAGAAGTTCAGTTTTAGTAGGTGTCCGATATTTATAACTAAATATGGATTTTAATTAATCATTCCGGATTCGTTTAATTTGATTTGATCTACTTTAGTGTTGGCTGCAGTGTCCCAAATTCCAATGAGGTAGTCAATTGAGGTTTAATTATAAAATTGTAAATTAGATAGGTAACTCTTTCGTTAATCTTTTATATAAGAAAAAGGTTGCGACCATAAGGTTATCGGCACAGAACAAAAATATACAACGATGGAAAATAACTACACAATATATTCCGTACATATAATGTTACTACGATATTAAATAAACATGGGATGGAAACAGATGGATACGGAGCCGATAAATTTTCACTAAGCCTCGATAAAGACCTCAGGAATCGTTTATAGTAAGTAACCCTTTATGTGCGACGAAACTTTTGCGTTTATTAAACATTCATGTAGGTATTTTAATCTATGGATCTATTATGGATTAACTGCGGTTAACCTTTTCATTTTAAGTAGGTTAATTATAAATGTAATGGAGAAGGTTTAATGAAAATTCGAGTGATCGACTACTTGGAATGGGACAATTCTCATCTACATACCATACATACATACGTATTATATATAGATACACTGACCAAAATAAATAAGTAATTCTCTTCATTATTACAGTTCATTTCATTTAACTGCACGTGAGTTGTCTGTTTGTTTCCATCCAACTTATTGCTTTGAGAAAAATGAACAAGTCGGTTACTCTCGAAATCGGTCCACGTTACTTACATGTATATATCATTCAAATTCTGATTACGTTCGTTACGTTCTTCGATTTGTTTTTCATCTAAAGAATATTTGTACCTCAACGAAATACACTCCAGTTGTACCAATTTATTAAAATGGCAATAATATACCAAATTG